GGGTTCCCAGGGAGAAACTGCCACATCTTCCTTGTCTGTACCACACTCACAGGCAGTCACAGAAAGGATTTGGGCTACACCTTGGTGTCTGGGTTGGGTGTTCTTGGGGCTGAGGAGTGGCCTTGGCTGGGGAGAAGGCATCTCACCCACTTTGAAGGCGTGTGAGAGGGCAGAGAGAGCAGCCAGAAGTGCTCCACCAGCGGTGGACATCTCAGGTTTCCCCATGAGAAAGTGACACCTAAGGCCCCTTCACAGCCTGACAGAGGAATTGTCTATCTTGCCTCTCCCAAAACTCTGTTGTTGGGTGGGTTGTTCCCGCCTCCCAGTACATCTTAGGCACAGTGGAGGCAGGAAAGAAAACCCTTCTGAAAATCACAACGTAATTACTCCCATCTGCTCCGGCACCGCTTCCCATTTCTGCCTGCCAGGATGCTTGTCTCCGATGCTAAGTAGCACATTATTTTCGATAAGTTGCAATCATTTACTTGAAATCTCCTTCTCCTTTAAAATGTCCCCCTGGAAAGGCAGTTCAGCAAGTTGGGAATGGGCAGAAACAACCACGATAAAACCCATCCAGAAGCAGCCGAGCTCGGGCAGGAGGGCGAGCGCTCCTCCCGAACTCGTTAAAACCACCCAGCAGGTTTCTTTGTGGGGTGGGTTTGTTTAAATGCCCAGCCACCAGGTCCAGCAAATGGGGCTGCAGAGGAGCTGCCAGCTCATATCAGAGGGAATCTTAACCAGGCAGTCACAGAAATTCCACAGGGCCGTGCTTTTGGCTGCTGAAGTCAGCAGAGGAAGAGCGGCGCTGGCGCTGAGGGACCGGTTCCTTCATCGTCACAACCTGGGTTGGCATCATCTCTCACCACCACACCCTGTGTCCCCTTGTGAAGGGGGTACACAGAGTCTGGCCCTGCTTCCCACGTCTCCTCAGCTTGAAGGCACTGACCACAGTAGGATAAATGGTCCTTTCTGGAAGGAAGATGGAGCTGGAAGGTCCTTTGCTGTTGTCACTAAGCCACAGTCTCCTGCTCAGCTTCTGCTGTCACATCCAGCATGTTTGATTGCCTTCGTGATGCACTTCTGTCTCTGCTGCCTGCACACCTCTAATTTGGAGGGTTTGGGAGGGGTGAAGAGGAAAGAGTTGCTAAGTTGGAAGAATTTTGGCACGGCCTCAGAGAAGAGAGATGACTGTGTGCTCAGCTCCTGTGCTTTTCAGATTCCTTTGGAAAAATGCTCCCAGGAAAACGGAGTAAATAAGGTAGGGAGTGGTGGCATGGAGTACCAGAGTCTGGTACCCTCCTTTGTGGATTTATTAGGCATCCTCACAGCCCCAGGCCATCCCCAGGGTGGTGTCTGCTCCAGAGGTGTCTGGCAAGTGCTGTTTTCTCCTGCCCTGTGCCCCCCACCCTGGCTGTACCTCAGACTGTGTGACCTGAGGGGACACCAGGCTCAGGTGCCAGGGTGTGGGGACATGTGGGGAGCTGCCTGCTCATCTCACCTGAGCTCAGAGCTGGCTGCTTTGCAGGTGCTCCTCGGAGATGTTGTGGGAAGCATCTTGGAGCATCTGGAAGCTTTGGTGCCTCGAGAATCCTGTGTCCCTGAATTGCAGGGCAGGCAAAGAGCCAAGGAGCTTCTTTTTGGCTTTTGTCTTCTCACCTGCTTCTCTGAGGTCAATCCTGCCACCACCTCCCATGTCCTGCACTGCAGCCACACCAAAGAGCCAGCCCAGGCCTGGGCTGTGTCAGTGTCCTCTGAACCCTGTGGCTGTGATCCCTTCCTCAAGGAGGGAGAAGGAGCAAATGTAGGAGCTGGGAGCTGCTGGAGTGGGTCTCTGTGACCCTGGTGGTGACCATGCCTGCACCTGAGGCTGGTGGCTCCATGGTCCCCAGCTTCTCCCTCTGCTGCCATCAGGGATGGTGACCCTGTGACAGCCACGTTCGAGCTGGGCCATGCAAACAGGGACAGGGCACATGCCTCAGGTTTACTTTTCAAACACACCTATATATATGTTACAAACACACACACATATATATTTATTGTGTGTGTATTTACATCTGAAAACGCATTTTGATCAGCAGGGGAGCTGGGTGAGGGCTGAGCACCATCTAGTGGCAAGCACCACGGCTCCAGGGACTGCCGAGCCAGCAGGAAAGCAGCCAAGGACAGAAAGTCTTGCAGGAATTTTCCTCCCCACCCCAGCTGCCAGTCACTGTCTTCCTTTTTGTTCTTCCCTTTTTTCCCCCCCCTTTTCTTTAATCAGGAGCAGCAAATTGGGGGTGGCCTGAGGATGCCTGGATGTGCCTACATGCCTGTAGCCCCCTGGACCACTGAAGATCATTCTGCTTCATTTATTCTCTTTTGATTAGGTGGGAGAGCAGATCTTTGGCCACCAACTACCCAGGCACTACAAACCCCAAACCCCCCCATCCAGAAAAGCCTCATCCCATCACAGGGAGCACTTTGGAGGGTCAGAGCTGCCAAGGAGCCCAACACACACCAGGCATCCTGGCAGGTGTTTCAGAGCTGGGTCCAGCACCGGGAAGATAAAAAAGGAGCTTTTAAATAATCATTTTTGTCTTCTCCTCGGCTGAGCACAGCCTTTCAGGGATAAATAAGCAGCATCAGTCCTGCTTAGACACATGGGCCTTTCCATTTATTTACTCCCAGGCTTTATTCTGAGTGAGCAGCCAAGCCCAGGTCTCTGTTGTGGGGGACACATCTCCTCCATCGGGTGCTGGTCTCTGTGTGTGTGGCACAGGAATAAAGCTCCCAGGAATACACAGCACTTTTCATCAGGAAGCAGCTCTCTAAACATAAACTAATTAATCACTCGTGCCTACCTGTCAGGTCAATGATTCCTGAGATTTTTAATCTAAAAATATTTCCCTTTTGAAATCCAGATGCGCCTGTTTTGGCAACTCTGCTTTTGATTTGTTTATTTGAGGTGGTTTTTAATTTTTTTATTTTTTTTTTTTAATTTTTATTTTTAACCTGTGTTGCTTTCCTTTTGTATTTGGGCTTTTGATGTGCTTTAATTGACTGATTTTTATTTATTTCTTTTTTGTCCTGTAAGAATAGGAATTTATTCTCTTTATTTTCATGGCAAGTCTCTCTCCCTGCTGCATCCTGTCAACTTCCCTCTTCTCTTTTTAAGGAATTTGGCTACTTTTGCATCATATTTCAGTTGATGGACCACAGACCCCATTTTCTTGATGAAATCTGTCCTCTCCCCGTGGATCTATTTATCATGGCTGGGTGCCATGGGAAGCCTCCCATGGTGGGGGGAGATGCTGGTCCTGTCTCCTGAGGGCTCAGCTTCAAATTTGGCACTCTGCCCTCATTCCTCCATGTAGAAATGATCCTCCCTAGCATGGAATTATTTATTATTAGCTCCAGTTTTACTGTTTTGGGGCTTTTTTCTGCCCACCTTCCCACCTGTGTTGACAGTGCATACTTTAATCCCAAAAAAAAAAAAAAAAGACAGTAAATGCATGAATGAAAAACTGTTCCAAATGTATGAATAAAATAAAATTAAACAAATGAGTGAAGTGTCCTGAAAATAGTAATTTCAGTAGGCTTTGAAGCTTTTTAAAAAAGCTCCTTTTAGTCTTAACCAAACCTTTCAACAGGGTCTTTCACTTCAATTTTATGATGATAATAGCTGTATCTTTAACTTATTGCAGAGTGGGGAAGACCATACCTGGTGCTTGCTGGGGTTTTTTAGCCACTCTGATTTTATTTCTTGTCACTAACAGGTCTTCCACTACTTTTTTTTTTTTTATTTCAAATGGCAGGAATAATCACTTGCTGTTCTTTGTGCCATGGATTGGGAGGAGGTCAAATTCATCTCAGGTGTCAGCGGGCACGGCTTTATCGAAATCCATGCAACATTTCCCAGCTCTGAATGCTCAGAGAATCTGTGCTCCTGGGGTGGTGTGTGTGCTCAGAGCCCCTGTGCCAGATGAGATGGGGAAATACCATGTTTTCCCCCTTCAGAAATGCCTTTTTTTTAATTTGCTCATCAAGGATTTATTTTATTTATGTGGTTTATTAAGCAGCAGTGAGTGTGTGCGTGTGGAAATCCGATGTTATCGTTGTGTGTTTGAGCACAGACCTTGGAGGGGGACAGGGGGCAGCTCCATTTTCCATTGGGATATCCCAAGCTGTTGGGATGCTCCCGTGTTGTTTTTCCAGGATAGCCCTCACAGGAGAACTTTGACTTGGAGCAATAATTCAGGCAGGGAACACAAAGATGGGAGGAAGATTCTCTTTTTGAAAAGTCACTCTGGGAGGGTTAATTCATCGATGCTCCTTTTCTCGGCATGGTTTAGACATCAGCAGAACGATTGGATTCTTAAAGAAAAGGAATTTTTCCAAGAAGAAAATTAATTTCTTAAGGTTTTTCTTTTTGCACATGTTCCCAGTGTGTGGCTAAAAGCATGGAGACTTCAAGCCCTCTCCACAGTCTGTATTTCAAGATGTGGAAACCAAGGCACAGTTGCCCTGGGCTCTGTGTGTCTTTCTCTGCCATCTGGGCTTGATGTAAATGACATGTTGGGTGACATGAGAGGACCCCTGAGCGAGATGAGATCAGGGCTAGAGAATTCCAACTTCCCATCTCATTCCTGAGTCGGGATATGGTCCCTGTGGCTTCAGGCAGCAAGCGTGGGTACATTTATGGGGTTTTTTTGGTTGCTGTTGCTAGGAGTTTCGCTGCTTGTTCGAGCAGAAAGTGTGGTTTTCTGGGTTAGCTCTGTGGTGAGCTCACTGCCAGTTCTGCCCTACTTCTGTCCTGAGGGAAGGAGGGGAAGAGGAGCTGGAGTGCCCCTGGAAGCCAAGTAGTGATGAGTGAAGCCAAGCTTGGTGATGAGAACTTGGAGCATCAGGCTGCCTGCTGGGGAGCCTGTTGGGAAGGAAGAAACCCCCGCTGACCCCTGGGGATGAGTGAAGCCCCAGGTGTGACTCAGGCTTTCCTCTCCCCATTGTGTCTCCTGCAGTGCTGAGCATCCGGGGGGCACAGGAGGAGGAGCCCACGGACCCCCAGCTGATGAGGTTAGACAACATGCTGCTGGCAGAGGGGGTGGCGGGCCCCGAAAAAGGAGGGGGCTCGGCCGCCGCCGCCGCCGCCGCCGCCGCGTCCGGAGGAGCCGGCTCCGACAACTCGGTGGAGCACTCTGACTACAGAGCCAAACTCTCCCAGATCCGACAGATCTACCACACGGAGCTGGAGAAGTACGAGCAGGTAACAGGCTCCTTCGTGGTGGGACTGGTGGGAGCAAAGAGGATCTGCACAGGTCACTGCTGACATCTGTTGTTAGGAGTGTATGGGCAAATGGGTGATGGATGGAGTGGGAACCTGCTTTTTTTAGGGTTGGGAGGGTTGGGGTTTGATGTTGTGGCGTGAGGATAGTCTTGGCAGGGGTTGTGGCCCTTGGATTTTTTCACTTTTCACTCCTCCCCTGATATCTTACCCAGAATTGGCCCTGTGAAGGAAGAGGCCTCTCTGACATGCTGGCCTCAGTGATGATAACTGTCCAAGCAAGACTTGAATCAGAATCTTCCTTGAATATGTTTTCTGCTTGAAAAGCTCTTTTTCCAGGGAAAATAAATAATCTTCTTTTCTTGTAGTAAATTACTCCTAAAAAAGAAAAAGTGCTTGGGTCATGAACACAGCTGTCGGTAACACTGACAATTTCATGAAGAGCTTTTCAGGCCAATGCTCAAAACCAGTTCCTTTCAGGTGCTTCCAGATGTTTTACAGACCTCTCTTGGCCACTGTGCACCTTGCCCTTGTGGTGTCTACCCCAAGGTTATGGTTTATGGATGTCAGCAAGAGGGTGTCACCTCTTTGGGTACAGAACAAGCTCCACTGCCAGGGGCCAGCTGGGCTGTCAGCTCTCTGGTTTAGAGCCAGTAAAAGGCTCCATTTTACCTGGCTAACTGGGTGTGTGGTGGGGCTGGGGGATGTCTCACCCCCATGGCCACCTTGGCCAAGCTGAGGGAAGGGTGCCCCAGGGTTTGAGCTGGAGTCAGGGTGGCCAGGCAGGGCTCTGGTAGTGAAGCTGTCATGCCACGAGGGGGGTTTCAGCAGAGCCCTAGGGCAGGCAGGGAGCAGGCAGAGGGCTGGATGGATGGATGGATGGATGGATGATGGATGGATGGATGGATGACCTTTGGTGGCTCTCCTCAGCCCTTGCTGTCACCCCCTTGAGGGACAGGGAGGAGCCTCAGCCATCCCACATGGAGAGCACATCAGGGATCATCTTTCAGGCTGAAGAGAGGTAGAGAGACCTCATGTCCTCTGCTACCCAAGTCCATGGAGAGGTCCGTGGCACAGACAGAGACAGGCTTCAGGGAAGGACCTTCTGCTTCTTCCTCCCCTTGGGCAGGAAGCATCTTCTGCTTCTTCCTCCCCTTTTGTTTGTTGGATGTTCTGATTCTGGTTTTGCTTCACTTTTGTTCCTTGAAGAGACACCCAGGTGAGAGAAGCCTTTAGCCAGGCCCAGAGGGTGGGATGGGTCACATCTCTGGTACCATCACCCACAGTCCTGCAACACCAAGGCTCAGGGCTTTCCCACCTCCTTCCCACTCTCTCCAGTGCAGCTGTTGGGAGCTCAGCCCCTGGATTCTTCTCAGTCTGGCTGCTGCTGGGTCAGCACTGCACTCAGTGGTGAATTTGCCTTTAATGTCCTTTATTTCCTGCCAAGAGGAGATGATCTGAAATTGCTGGGGTGTCTGGGAGCAGTGAGAGCTCTCATAGCCAGCACTCTGGAGATGGGAGTCAGCAGCTGGAGCTGGGGAGGGGCAGTTGGAGGGGCTCTCTTGGCCTTGGGAATGTCTCCTTGTTGGGTCTGAGCCATGGTGGGAATTCAGCTTGGAAGGGTGGGGTAAGACACAGCAAGTCAAGCCCACGTCACCAGTCCACAAATCCAGTGTTGATTTCCCCTGGCAGCCCCTTTTTCCCCTTCATGGGGTGGGAGCTGCAGGCACTGTCCCCAAAGAGCAGCCACCAAATTCCCAGGAGCACCAAAGGCTTCTCCAGCCATCACAGTCCAAGTGCTGCCCCTGGTTTTTGGGGCTTGCTTCTGGGAATCAGAGGATCCCATCATGCCAACGAGGAGCTCATGGGGATGAAGGAGAGGGGAGGGAAGTGAAGTGGCTTTGATCTGGCCTCAAAATCCCTCCCTGGTGCCCTGGCTCCTCCTGTGTCCTCACAGTGTGGGGACAGCAGGAGCAGCCAGACAGTGCTGTGCCAGCAGCAAACTAATTGGGATTGTTACTTGCTTGCCCTTATTTGTCAGGGCTCCTGCCTCGCTCAGGCTTTAATTATTATCCTTATTCACTTCTTACCTGATGTGCCAAGAGCAGGGAGCAGGGCCACGTGTCTCTGGGAGCTGCTCCTGTGAAGCACAGGGGGCTCTGCAGGACACGTGGTGGGGCTGTAGAAGGAGGGGCAGTGGCTCAGAAGGGTCATGATCCTCCTCAGGTGAATCTGCAGCTCCTCCAGGACAAAAGTGGCTGGGACCTCTTCATCCTTTACAGGAATTTTAGGGCTTTGTCTGACCCAGCTCCATCCATGATCCCCCGAGAGCAAAGAAATCGGTTCTTGTCTTTCCCAGCGTGTTTATTGGGAGTCTCTAACGCCCTGTGCTAGGCAGAGCAAGGAAATTTCTCTCTCCCTGATGTCTGTTTTAGGCTTACCTAGAAACAGAGTCTAGACACAGTTAAAAGGATTAAAGGGGATATATTTAATGAAGGGCCTTCAGGTGCATTCAGATGAAACCTCCCCAAGGGGCTACACCCTAAATGGATGATGGTCACAAGTTTTTCAGACAGATGCAAGTTTGGTCTGTTTGCATATCAGGAGTTAATTCTCCAATTACAGCTTCAGGTAATGAAGTAATTTAACATCAGTTTGCTACCCCATAATTCACTTTTGTTTATACTTTTTTGGAGTTCTTGAGCCTCAGGCCTATAGGAATTGTTCTGTCTGGCCAAAATGTGGAGACAGTTAACTAACACTCTCTATGGAGTTCAGAGTTACACACTAATGCAGCACAGGATCTGAAAAATACAAAAGCTGAGCATCCTTGCTCTGGGCCTGCTCTGAGAAGCCCAGCCAGTGAGGGCTGCACTCACATCTCCATCCGTAGCCACACCACCTCTGTCCTGTCCTTGACACCGCCGAATGACCTTCCCATCCTGGGGTTTCTTTTGCTTTTCCTGCCATCCCAGGCGTGCAACGAGTTCACCACCCACGTGATGAACCTGCTGCGCGAGCAGAGCCGGACCCGGCCCATCTCCCCCAAGGAGATCGAGCGGATGGTGAGCATCATCCACCGCAAGTTCAGCTCCATCCAGATGCAGCTGAAGCAGAGCACGTGCGAAGCCGTCATGATCCTGCGCTCGCGGTTCCTGGACGCACGGTGAGCCCGCCCCACCCAACCTTCCCGCCGTGTCATTGGGCTCCAGGAGGTTTGTTGGGTCTGGGGTAAGCTGAGGGCCAGCTGAAGAACCCCCACCTCCAACACAAATGGCAGAAAGATTTAAAATTTGGCTTTGATCTTTACCTCTCTGTCCTCGTTGGCTCCGTTCTCTGGTGCAGTGCAGGTGGGAAAGCCAGGTAGCTTTCAGAGACACAGCCATTGCTAGCAAGCTCTGAAAATATTCTTTTGACGCTCACTTGCAGATGACAGGAACCCTGGGAGCATAAACCCAGTTATTTTCCGCCCCATGGAAAAGGGAGTCAACAGAGATTTCCCCAGCACCATACATTAGATCGCCCAGTTCCTAAACTCCAAGCAGGAATCCCAGGACCCCAGCATGTACACCCAGCTGGTGGCCACTTTGGGGTTTTCTTGCCTTTTTTATCCCTTAGTTGTCAGTGTCTCAGCAGGGGAGGGGACTGCAATTCAAACCATCCCTCGGTGAGGCTCCCAGCTGTGATGAGAATTGCACATCCTGGTTTTGCAGAAGGAAATCCTGTGGCATATTGCAGCGAGCCTCCGTGGTGAAAACCTGCACTTCAGTTAGGGATGAAAGTTTATCCTCCAGGCCATCCTGTCCCACTTAGATTCCTAATTTTTTTCCCCACTGTTTTTATTGTCCCAGATTTTCAAATTGCTGTAAAATCATTTCATTTCCCACGCTGGTTAGGTGCAGACTGCAGCTTGGGCTGTAGCTTGTGATGGGGAGGAGAGGCAGCTACACCAGGGGTACAAGGAAAGAGATGCCAGACAGGTAATAATGCCTAGGTGTGAATGGAGCAGACTTCCCCAAGGATATATCCATCTCTGCTTCCTCAGCACAGAGCTTTGCAGAGCTGCACTGATGTCTTTGGTCACGACAGTCAGGTGTCAGGAGTCACCTCCCCAGGTGGAGGAGCCAGATGCCAGTTTTCAGACTCTGCTGTGATAAATTTGAGGTGGAGACTTGCTTTGAGAGGTGCTGAGAGAGCAGTGACCAGCAAGGGGCAGATAAGAAGCTTCCCGGCCATGAGTCTTGTGCTCCATGCTCAGAGAAGCAGAGCAGGGAGGGAGGAAAGTGAGAAACCTAAGAGTGTCTAAAATTGCATTCTGTTTTTGGATCCCTGGTGCTCATTCCCTTTCCTTTTCCTTCTATTTCCTATTCGTTCTTCACGTGAAGGCGGAAGAGACGAAACTTCAACAAGCAAGCCACGGAAATCCTGAATGAGTATTTCTATTCCCATCTCAGCAACCCTTATCCCAGTGAGGAAGCCAAAGAAGAGCTAGCCAAGAAATGTGGCATCACAGTCTCACAGGTGAGAGAGCTCAAAGCCTGCACTAGTGGGAAACCTCAGCATGGGGAAGGCTGTTCCACACCTCAGACCAGCCAGTCCTGTCCAGTGTTGAGCATTTAATTATTAAATCAGTTTAGTTCAAGTTAGTGAGAGTGGGTGGGAGTGCAGATGGCACTTGCAGATTGAAGCCATGCATGGAAAGTCTGAGAGCAGATTTAGGAGGTAGGAAGGCACCATGGAGCAATGGCTATGTGTGCAGCCAAGGTGTTGACAACACAGAAATGATGTGGCAGCACCCAGAGGGGCAAATTCTCCTCAAGGAATTAGTGCTGCAACAAGAGCTTGTTTGATCTGAAAGTCCTTTCTCCAAGGGATTAAAAGCAGTAGGAAGAGTTGTGCAGGTTTTGCTTGATAAGACAGAATGGACAAGTCCTGGTGGGAAGGACCTGGGTGTAACTGTTACTGTTTGTGCTCAGTGAGGGTGGGATTTCTCAGGGTCATTTCTCTCAGTCATTACCCTTGTGCTGCAGAACATGACATCTCCCTGACTTGCACATCCCTCAGAACATGGTGGTTAGTAAAGACAAAGTGAATTATTTCCATATGTTCAAGGAGGCCACATAGTTCTGGAGTCTGTAGCTTTGACCTGGGAGCTGCTGTGATTTGTGAGGAGCACAGTCAGCCCTTGAAATGTTCAGCCATACATTGCTCAGGCCTGCCCTTCTTTATTTCCTCTCTTTTTGGAGCAAGCTGTGTGATTGAGAGCCAGTCTTTGTGGCCTGTGGTAGGCTCGTCCTCACGTGAGCCTCTAGGCTCCCATGGCATTCCCTGTCTTGGGCTGCTTCCCAGCCCCAGGCACGTGCCTGCTCGTCACTTGAGCAAACTGCAGACAGCCAGGAGCATCTGGTGTCCTTGTGGGAGCGTGTCTGCCTTCAGCAGGAGCAGCAGCATCCAGGGGTAGGTGTCATCACCGTGCTGAGCGCCTGCTGAGTGACTCCAATCGCCTCCCCTGGGCTGGAAGACCCAAACGTTGCTTCTTCCCAGAGTTACCTACAGGAGACAGCACATATTGGCTTAAATAAAGCTCCAGCTGTCCCAGTGCTTCCCCTCTCACTTCTAATTCATCTGTTCACACTTACAACTTCTCCTTTGCAAAGACAAAATGCCCAGGAGAAATGCTGCGCTTAGGAGGTGGTTTTGAGCGTGCTGTATCGAGGCTGCTTTGTGCCTGTCTCCAGGATCTGCCTCCTTTCTTCATCTAAATAAGACAGAAACAAACACACATCCAGGTCTGGTTTTGCTGGGACTAAGTGGGAGCACAGGTCCCATGAATGTGTGCAAGTCTTGAGCAGAGTTACCCGAACTCAGAGTCTGACCAGGTTAGGCAGGTGTGCTGCAGAGATTGTAAAATGCAGGTAGGTTGTGTGTATATTCCAACCTCCTGCCCTGTGGTGCTCAGAGTTCACCCAGGATGTGAAACCAGAAAAGCAGTCAAGAGGAAATTTCCATCTGGAAAGATCATGGAGGAGCACGTTGTCATTAGTGAGACCAAGAGGTGGAATGGAGCTCCTTGCCAACAGCACCTGGTGGTGCCACCAAAAAGATTGCTCCCAGATCTGGGCTGGGTGCTGATTACATTTTCTGCAGGTCGTATTTTCTCTTTCCTGCTCTGCAGGGTTGGATGCCTGTAGCTCAGTAGCCATTAAATGCGTGGAAGCTGCTGAATGCTCTAATAGCACTGCAGATAGAAAGCAGCAAAGGAATAAAATCTTACGGGTTTGTTACCAACACCCAAGCCCAAGCAATTTCCCTAAGATAAGGGAGAAATCATGGGCTTCAAAGGATGAGCATCCATTTTTGTCTCCTGTGTCTCTGGTGCTTGCTCAGTTCATTTGGAAGAGGGAGCACTGATGTACTTGCTCACCAGCAAGCAAAGGGAGAATGTCCTTGAAATCTCACTGAAGGAGTCGGTCTTTCTAGCTCAGGATTGCAGCTCCAAGCTATTCTAGGAGTGTTGGAGCTTTTCTGGAGAGCTGCAGCATCCTCCTCATTTTCCAGTTCCCTTTATCCTGATAAGCCCTCTCAGACAAAGTCAGTAGCAGCTAGAAATTGTCTTCTGCTGAGAGACCTGCACATAGGAAGACATTACCCTGATTCTCTGTGCTCAGTGCTGATGAAGAAGAAGCTGAGAGCTGCTTCTCAAGCTGTAGGATTGAATCTTTCCCATGTTTTCTCTGAAATAGTTCAGTGTGAGATAGTGCCCAGGAGTGAACAGGAATATCACCAACAAACACAGGTGAAACATCTGTTCCCATCTTCCACCCCTTCCCAAGGCACACACTTCTCTCCTGGGACCAAAGTTAGGTTTTAGGACAAGTCCTGTGCTCCTTCTCCACCCTTCCCCTGAAGTTCCTGGCTCATGCAGTGGCTCATGCTAAACCCTGCAAAGCCGAGCTCAGCCAGATAAAGAGCATCCACTTCTGGCTTTGTGCCCTGGTTCCCCTCAGATGGGTCAAAAGAGAGCTTTGGTGATACTGAGGCAATTTTGTGCGTCAGCCAGGCCTCAATCAATTCTCTGAGTGTTCTCCCTCTCAGCTGTGCTGGTAATCAGGGCATCTATCCCATCAAAGGCATACTGAGGGGGAGAGAAATAAAAATGACACATACCTGCTCTCAAATCATGCAATTTCGGGGTCATTTGACTTTGTCGTGTTTCTTTGAATCCATTTTAAGATTTTTATGGGGTTGCTCTAGTGGTTCCTGTGGAGCTTCCCATCCATAGCAGAACCAGCTCCATCCACACAAACCCAGTGCTCCCAAGGGGATCCCATCACCTCTCCTGGGCTTGGCGTGGCACACACGGGTGGAAGGTGCTAGAAAAGGAGGGGAGGAAAAAATCTGCACTGCTTCACCTGAACTAATCCACCTTCCTCACCCAGGTGCACCTGGCAGAGGTGAAACTTTAACATCCTTGTCTTTTGAACTCGCTCTAGGTATCAAACTGGTTTGGAAATAAGAGAATCCGGTACAAGAAGAACATAGGTAAATTTCAAGAGGAAGCCAATATTTATGCTGCCAAAACGGCTGTCACGGCTACCAATGTGTCAGCCCATGGAAGCCAGGCTAACTCACCCTCAACTCCCAATTCAGCTGGTTAGTTTTTATTTTTCTTTTATTTTGGGTTGTTAGTGTTGGGTTTTTCTGTTTGTTCTCCCCTCTCCCTCTAATCTCTCTCATTTTCTCCTTCTGGTTATTTCAGATTTTATTCTCTGGGTTTGATTTGCTCACTTTTGTGGTCTTAAAAAAAAACAAACAACCAAAAGAGGGAAATGGGTTTGGTTTGGTGGGTTTTTTGTGAGGGGGGTTACTTTATTTTCTTTGCTTTTTTCTCCCTATTTTCTCCTTTTTTCCCTCTTCCCCTTCCCTGTTCTGTTTGATGTTGGAAAAAAGGATGTGGTCAGACCTTGTGACTGATGGTGCTGTGGTGGGGGGTTATATGCATGGATGGTAAACACAAAACCAGAAAAGTGGTCCACAAACTGTTGTTGGGATTGCTTGCACTTTGTGGGGGAGAAAAAAAAAAAAAAAAAAAGTAATAGAAAAGTTATTGTGTAGTGATTTTATTTCACCGGGGCTGAAAGCATGAGTGATCCTAATGGATAAACCCCAGCATCTCTGAGATGTCCTATCTCATGCCATTTTGAGGGTTGTTTTTGGGTAAATTTTTATCCTTTGATTTTCTTTTTGTTGTGGTTATCTCTTTGATTGCTTACATGACAGTGTCTGGATCACCTGCAAGAGTGTGCTCTGTGTGAATTTTATTTTCCCTTTGTGTCAGTGCAATCCAGAGAAGTTCATGGGTCGTTCCCTTCCCTTTCCCCCTTTCCTTCCCATCTGCTGTGGTTTCCATTTGTTTGTTTTGAGAGTCAAAGGCACAGAGCACTTTGCCCAGATTTCAACTCCTCTGCTAGAGAATGATGCTCAGTTCACGCGTGGTGCCTGCTGCAAGGTTGGCCAACCCAAAAATAATCAGGGGCTGTGGATCCAAGAGCAATGGAAAATTGGGATTTGTTTACAAGGAGAGGGGGGAAAAAACCCCAAAAACTTCATGGGTTCCATGTGCTTGTAATCCATGCAAATATCTGTGTGCCTGTTTTCTTTTTAGGGGTGGGAGGGAGAGTGCCACTCTTGAGCCTTTGGGCTGAGTGTCTGCTCACAGCGCCCTTCCCTGGGGACATGATGCTTGGTGTCACCAGAGAGGCAGGAAAGGGAGCAAAGAGGATGGTGGGCAGTAGGAGTGAGCATAACCCTGCCTCTGATCAGAGGAATCACGCTCCAGAAACACCCCTGGCCCTGGAGGATTTGAGTGGAAGGTGGAGAGCCAGGGGTCAAACATAGGGAGGAAGCAGTGGGACAATCTCTCCCACCTCCTCCTCTCCCAGGAGTGTCTGCTCTGGCTCAGGTGCTCTGAGGGCTTAGGTGGATGCAGCAGAGCCCTGCAGAGACAGTTTCACTGCAGTTTTGTTTTATTCTTTTTGGTTTGGTGGGGTTTTTGTTCCCCTCCCGTTCTGTCAACTGATGAAGATTTAACTGCATTTTCAAAAATGTCATTCTTTTCAAGGAGCTCACACAAAATACCTGCTCAGGTGGGCTCTCCTGATGTTAACACCCCCTGTAGAAAAAGCTGGAGGGAATTGTGCTGGAGAGGGCAGAATTGTGTGTGTTGAGGGAGAGGCCTGCTGCCTGTGATCAGTCTGCCCCAAAGAGAAGCAGCTTCCCTTCTTTTCCTCTTTCTTCAGCAGGAGACAGATCCCAGAGGTCTGGAATAGCAAGGGAACAGCTTCAAATTGCCTGAGTGGGTTTGGCTCTGGGCTGCACGTAGGAGAATAAGCATTTCCTCAGTTCCTGACTGGTTAAATAGTGCTCCAGAACAAGGCTGTTTCCTCACCTTCCCCACAGGCAGTGAGGCGGTTGTTTCAGAGATAAATTGGCCAGTGCCCTGCAGTAAACAGCTGAGATAATCCCTGGATAACACCGTGCTTTCAAGAAAGGACAAACAGTCCTGTTATTAACAGGGAAAACTTGAGCTCCTGGGTCCTCTTTGTGGCTCACTTGTCTGCAGTCTGGAGTCATTGACCTCTTTTCACGTGCCTGAAGTGTCAGCGGTGCTAAAGCAGAGCGAGGGGAGCTTGCAGGCCACAGAGATCCTTCTTCTGCTTAGAAATAAAATGTTCCTAACCTGGCCCAGGTCCCACATCCTGCCTGTAATGCTGAAACAGTGGCAGAGCAGCCAGGAGGCCCCACTTGCTCTGGCTCAGCTTGCAGAGGAGGTGGGTTTGGGTGTCCTTGGAGAAGACAGCTGGAATTGCGCGTGATTTTTATCTGCTGACAGTCGAGATCCTCCCAGCTGAACCATGCAGATGTAACAGCTCAGTCCCCTGCATTGTCACATCCTGGGACAAAGACACGTCCTGAGGACATCCTGTGATCTCTCCTGCTTCGAGGTGTCCTGTAGGTCCTAGCAGCAAGAAGCACTCCTGTACCTGCTAGGTCTGAAATACCTGTCTGAGAAAGATTGGGACAATTGTGTCCAGGACCATGAGCCACCAGATGTGCTGAATTCTCCAGGGAGGATCATGGAAGCCAATGAAGAGGTGAAGAACTAAGAGGGCCAATGCCTCTCCTCTTACACTGTGAGCTTCTTGCTGTTCCCAGATCACTGACTGAGACTTTGGTGAGGAGGTAGCCTGAACAAAGGGAATTTGTAGGACTTTCTGGTTTAAATACATTATAGGGCGTGTGGAAAGAAAGTAAGCAGAGGACAGGTCATGAGAAAGAAATGACCAGCAGTGTAATCCCTGGAGGGCCATGATGTTGGAAGAGGAGGTGGAGCTGGATGCAGTGGGACCTGGGACAGGAGCTGAATTCATTTCTGCTGTGGCTTTGCAGACCCATCTGTTCTCTCATTGATGCCCATGTTACTGGAGATCGGTGAATGGCTACAGTCAGTCAAAGAGATTGGCCACACATTGACAAGGGCAAGGATTGCATCTGTTTGGCCATCTGGCACGTTCAGAGCAAGGTCCCCCATCCTCAGTCACCCAGGCCTGAATGTCAAACACCTTTTCATCCGGAATACGCGCGGTTGGGCTTTATCAGCCAGATGTTCAAATAAGATGAGAAGTCTGGCTCATTTGGGCTAACAACTCCCCATCCTCACTTTGATTTCCTGGACAATCTCAGCACAAAAACCACATGGCAAATGAAAGCTGTTTTATGTGGGCAGACCCTTTTGCCAACCAGATTCCTCAAGGGCCACACACAGGTGATGGCATCCAGTGAAATCTTGAATGCAGAGCAGCCAAAATTGTCTGGAGCTGCTTTGTTGGTTTTTTTTTACCTGCTCATCCTTTTGTTTTGTAAAAATCTCCTTGTGAAGCTGCTGCATGGAAATGTGCTTCATCAAGCACAGGTGTCTTCAGTGCCCTCCTCCATTTGTGTCCACAACACACCACTGGAGAGGACTCTGCTTCAGCAGAGACTCTTCTGGTCCTGGCTTCACTGTCCTCAGTGTTGGACAATGAAAAAGAACAAATATCCTGCTGGATCATCCCTGGCTTTTGGACCTACTTTGTGGCTTTGTCCAGCTAAGGAGCTATATCACCTCATTTTTCCCTCATTTTTGGTCATGGGAAAAAAAAAATGGCCAAAAAACACACACAAAAAGACCAAAAAAACAAAAGACACCACAAAAACAAAAGACACCACAAAAAGTCACAAGAGGCATAAATCTTGTGCTCTCAATGCATGTGTGTCACTGTTGCTGACTTCAGCTAGGAATCTTGTAGACATGACCAAAGTCATTTCAGAGCTTCAGTGTGCTGGATCTCTCTTGGTGGCTGTAGGTGGGATGAGGCAGCAGATGAGGATGGCTTGATTTCAGCTCAGTGAACACCATTACCCTGTCTGTTTATTCGTGGTACCATTTAAATTGTCAGATACTTTAGAGAAAATTACTTACTAAAGGTCCTGGAAAATTGGAGGTGGAAGTTGAGACTGTCAGAACACAGAAGATACTGGAGAAGCTGGAGAAGAAACTTTAAAGAGCTGGAAAAGTGGTGCAAGAAGTATCAGCGGTCAAGATTGTGAAGATTTTTGAAATGGAGGCAAAATTTAGGTGGGCTTTGCTTATCAGAGGTGGAAGAAATCTCTGAGGAGGCATTGTTTTGATGCAGGCTTTCACCCAGGGCAAGATCTGACTGCCAGAGTTTGCTCAGACATTTCCTGCACTCTTTCTGAAGCTGGTGCAGCCCTGATAGAAACTCAGCACCAAGGATAAGTGGGGATAGGTCTTGGCTTGAAAAAGATGTCTGGATGCTGAAGATGAAACACTCTTCCACATTGCTACAAGTCATGGGTTTTCTGATAGATATTTTTGTCTACCCACAATAATTTCAGGAACTTCCATGCCAAGATCAGAGCACTTTCCTCCTGGGCTCACAGACTCGAAGATGAGCTTCTCTCATTCACAACCTTTCAATTCCTGAGGAACCCCAGACCAAATTACAGCCACCGAAAGCCTGTGGTGCATTCAGGGAAAGAACATTCCAGAGGGACAGGTCAGATTCACAATGGGTCCTCCTCTAGTGCAAGGACTTGACTTGTATTCCTGGATCTTATCTCTGTGGAGGACATCTGAATCTAAATTTTCAGGGCTCTTCACACTGCTGCCCCCTCTCCCAGCTTAGCCATGTCTCCAAGACTTTGGGCTACTGTAATTTTTGGGCATGGTGAGTGCTGAAGTGGTGCAGAGGGCTCTGCAATTACAGCTCTGATCCAAATGCATCCGTACACGCAGGGCCATTGGTATGCGCATATTTATCTCTGCATCCACATCAGCAGCAAGACATATTTACCGTTTAGATATGCACATATATTGTAAAAACACCCCTTGCCAATAGCAGTGTATATCTTGTAAGTGACATTTCCAGAGCTCCTCATGATTTCCAAGACACCGTCGCTCTTCAGAACTAGAGTTTGTGGATGTTTGTTTATTTTTATTTCCTCCCTCCCAGCCTCAATTTTATGGCCAGGTTTGTTAAGTTTCAATAAAATATCAGTTAAGTTTATGGCATTTTTATTTGTTACTGTTGTTATAATTTTCCTTTGGTAGGGGAAGGTGGGATGAAATGTTGCTCAGCTGTGGGCAGAGCGATAGCAGTGCCATGCCAGGTGCTAAGGGATTCTAGAGTTCTCTTTCCAGCTCTGCCACTGATTATTTGTTGTGATCTCAAAGATTTCTGCTCCCCTCAAAAGAGGAGGGAAATACTCTCTGCTTCCTATGAGCAGTGGCTGCAGAGTCTTTTGGTTCTCAGCCACTGTGGGAGTACAAATCTGCATTACTGCCCTGTGCTTTTATTAAGGTGGTCGAGGCAATCACTCAGAAAATGGGTTTGGAAGCATCTTGGTGTGTGTGAAACGTGCCTATCTTCACGCTTAAAGCTGAGCACTGTCAGGGTGGGCTGGCCCCACTCTGCCAGCTCATTTCTCTAGGTTTTTTGCCTTTAAAACAGCAAGTAACCTGAGAGGTTGGGAAGTGACAGGAGCCCTTTGCCAGCTGAGCAGAGGAGGTGATGGTTACAGCTGCCTCCTGACTAGTCCCGGTTGTTTTACGCAGCGCCGTGGGATTGCTCTCTGGAACAGGTTGGGCAGGTTGACAGTGAGCACAGACAATGAGCTATTCCTGGCTTCACTCTTGTCAGGCACCGGTGGGAGGGTCCTGATCCAAGACTCGCTGTGCTCAAGATGAGTCTTTCTCTTGGCTGCCTTGGGTGTTTGTATCTAGCAGTGATTTTTCTGCTCTCCTTTGATTCCGAGAACCGCCAGCACCTGACAAAGGAGCCGGTCACTAAGAGAGCAGCAGGGAATGTAGTGAACATGAAATCTCCAGCACAGCCCTCCCACCTGCTCCCTGACCTTTGTCAGAGGTGGCTTCCTTCAGAGGAGCCTTCCTGCTCCACCTCCAGGGCACAGCTGGGATCTGTCCCTGTTTCTTCCCTCTCCAGCAAAGGGAGGGAGATTGCCAGGCATATCTCAGAGCGTACGCATGAGCCATAGTTGGGCAATTCCACCAGGACTGTGGTTGCCAGTCTTCCAAGCTGGAAATGGCAGTGTAGATGCTGAAAGTATATTTGGGACTGGAGCTGAAAGCATAGCTGACCTGGGCCCCTGAAGTCTCTCCTTTCCAAGGCTAACGTCATGTATAACTAAACCTTGCACGTTGAGCTGTCTCACACTTAACGCGCTGATCTGCACGATAAATTCTGAAATAATCCCATAAAACCTTTTTATTTATTTTTAACCCCCTTGCTGCCTTCCCTGCCTTCCAGTTACATGATGGGTTTGTTTCTTCTGTTAAGTGGTTGAGGAGGTGCTCAGATATCTCAAAGCTGGAAGCATAAAACTTCTAATTTCTGCAAAGGCGGGATTTATTTTTTTCTTTTGTGTTTCTTTTTCTCCTGATCCCACCCAGTTGTCTTCTCTGTTACAATTTTTTAGCATAACACTGATGACTGGTGCATGCAGTGGGGAATTTGCTTACAGAGCTTGTTCTTCTGGGGCAGCTGGCCCAGGAGGGCTGCAACACCCTCGTGTTCTCTCACGGGCCATCGCAGTGAAAGACTTTTGCCAGCATGATGGGCACTGGGAGTCTAACCCAGGTGCCTTCACATTTTTGTGAGCCTTTGCTCCTGGTGCTCTGCAGTTCCCGCCAGTGATGGGTTCCCGATGTCCTGAAGGCAAACCCCATGCACAGCTCCCTCGCAGAGCCCCCTGTGGCTCAGCCAAAGCTCCGGCTGTGGGGCTGGATGGGCTCTGGACGTCTCACCCTGCAGGGAGCAGTGCAGGCAAGAATCACCCAGCTTGTTCTGAGCTTCTCAGCATGGGCTTGGTTTGCCTGCTGCAAAGGTTTCTGCTCTTGATAGCAGGGCTTGTCTGGGTAATTCTGGTCTCCAGCGCAGTCTTGCTGGGTGAACACCTCCAACAACCGAGATCCTTCAAAGCTGTCTGAAGGATTCTGATGCTATCCGAATCCTCCAGGCTGTGCTTTGTTTGTCTCAGTCAAAAGCATGAGGAATCCTTCCTCCAGCTGAGGAGCTGTTGAAGAATGTTCTTGGCATTGAGCTGTAACAACATGTGGCTTTGAATAACCTCAAGAGTGCATCCTTTTTTTTTTTTTTTGCTTGCTCTCTTCTTCATACTACTAACCTGACTGTGTGTTTTGTTTTTGTGGTTGCTTTGCATGTTGTTCCTTCCTCTTGGCTGAGAGTCATGGGGTGGATCTTTTTCCTTTCTGTGATTCAGGTGCCTCACTCTTTCCTTTCCAGGTTCTTCCAGTTCTTTTAACATGTCAAACTCTGGAGATTTGTTCATGAGCGTGCAGTCTCTCAATGGGGATTCTTACCAAGGGGCCCAGGTTGGAGCCAACGTGCAGTCACAGGTAGGGACCCATCCAATGTACTGCCAGTGAATGCATTAGTGTTGGAGGAGCCTTTGATTGTATTGGCACTTCTCCCTCCCCTCTGAAAAGAGCAAATCTCAACCAGCACAAAAAAAAAAAAAAAAAAAAAGCAAACCAAACCAAAAAAAAAATAATAAAAAAAAAGCAACAGGAACAACCACCAAAAAAAAAGAAAACCAAAAAAAAGAAAACAAAAAAAAACCAAATAAAAAAAAAATCCAAAAGAAACCAAAACCAAACACCCAACCAAACCAACAACCATGGTCTTGAGGAGACTTGCCCACACTTTGTGAATGCATTTGGCTCTGGCTTGATAGTCGTGCTAGGAGGAGAGAAGGTGTAGAAGAACAGGCACAAAGTCAAACAAAAGCAGCTCAGGTTTAGGTTCTGCTTGCTTTATTCTTCCAAGGGAATGGGCCAGATGTTTGGACTGGTGTCTCGTTTTACAAGACTTCCACTTACTCCTTTGATGCCAAACCAGGTGTCTACTGAAAGGCAATAAATGTTCAAATATGTAGATAATTTTTTTTAAATTATTTTTTTATAATTAAAAGCCACCCTTGACCATCCCCCCACCTCCCCAAAGCACAGGCACTCACACCACCCCTGTACATACCAGCAGGAGAGAGCAAGGGAGCTTTGAGCAGCATTGCTGAAACATCAGCCCATGCTTGGGGCAAAAAGAAAGAATTTAAAATAGCCACGACCTCACTCAGATCTCCCACCTCCCATCTGATGTCCAGATATGCCACGAGCCCCCTCTCTGGCATCTAAGGCTCTGTTCTGTGCTGAGAGACGACAGCCACTCTGACACTTCTGCATTGGGCAAGGAGAGCTCTCTAAAGCCAAGGCTGCTCCCCCGTGGGGCTGGACGTGGAGCACACATCATCCCTGGGCGGTGAGACGTGCTCACCACATGTGCCACTGCTGGGGCTGGGCTGGGGGTGTGAGGGAGAGGAACGGGGCACCCAGAGGAGCGCTGCTGGTGCCTTTGCCATGGTAGGTATATTTCCTTTCTGGGCCCTCCACAGCGAAGGCGCTCCAAAGATCTCTTTCTGCTGCCGTGAGCAGTGCTTGGGGTCAAGGGTGGAAGGGGGTAGGGGTAGGAAGGTGGGTCCTTGAGCACGGTGGTGGAGATGGCTGCAGCAATGTGCTCCAGGAGATGCCACCCCACGCTTGTCACGCTGTTCTCCCTCCCCACTCTTTTTGTCGAAGGACATGGGACCAAGGAGAGCGTGGCAGGGCTGCTGGGGCGGGCAGGGGATGGTGAGAGAGGCAGGAGAGGTCCTCTGGCTCATCTCTCTCCACAAGACCAACTGCGGCTCTCGTTTATCCCTCTTCGAATATATACCTTTATTTTGATTACGATGATGACCGCGATTATTGTCGTGACCGCTTGTTTGCTTTTATCTTGCCAAAGATGAACGGAAGCAGCTTTGGCCACTAACCTTTCCTTCCCTCTAATTTGTGTCTTTGTTGTTGTTGGTCTGTTTAGGTGGATACCCTTCGCCATGTTATCAGCCAGACAGGAGGATACAGTGACGGACTCGCGGCAAGTCAGATGTATAGTCCGCAGGGCATCAGTGTAAGAAAAAAAAACAGGCTCGGGTTCTGGTCTTTCGGGTTTTGTTGGTTTTTTGGGGTTGGTTTTTTTTTTTCATTTTTATTCTCTCACTACCAATTATTTCAAAGCCATAGGGCTCAGAATGCCACTTAGTAGGACTTGTCTTTGCTTTTACGGTCACCTAGTTCATCGCTTCTGTATCGGTCACGCCAGCGGCGGAGCTTTGCCCACAAAAAAAGTGGCGCCGGGGCAGGCTGCGTGCAGGCAGCTGGCGTCTCGGACTGTCACAGCCCATCAGCGTTCGCCCGGCACCTGCGGCCACGCGCGCTCGGCCGACAGGAGCTGCTAAACAGGTGACACCTCCTGTAACCACGGTGGGGAATGGCACCGCTAACGCCCCGGCCCAGGGGTGGCTCCGTGCTGGTGGCACCGTCCCGGAGCGGCCGGCTTAAAATAACCCATCCCTGGCCGGCGTCCGAGAGCGCCGATAGCGAGTGAGAGGAGGAAAAATACCCACAAAGCCAACCAACGTCAACCCAAGAAAACCTCGCCCAAGCGGGCTGGGGGAGGATGTGAGGGGGAGGGCGGTCTCTGGAGCATCTTCTCCTTGTTCTTGGGTGCGCTGGCGGGTTCTGACTAGCATGAAAATTCGTAGCGACAAGCTGTGTCGCACAGGGGGAAATCGATCAGACACACACAAGGAGAACCCAGTGTAGATTCGGGACAGCAATCCAACTTCATTTCTCAGATCAATCGTCCACCATCTCAGCGGCGGTGACAGCAAGCTGGGAGAGGAGGGCAGCCTGGAAAAGGAGGCTGTGAGCGCCGAGTGGGTGGTGGCAGCGGTGTCCGGGGTGGCACAGAGGAGGAGGCAGCTGGCCCTGGACATGGGGACGCTGATGGCTGAGATAGGGCGGTCTTGAACTCATCAAAGAGGTGATGATCCTCTGGGTGGGATGGTGGTCCTGCAGCCCAGACCCCAGCATGGCGCACCAGCCAGTCCCACTGGGCCATTTGTCACCTGGCATGGGACCATCTTGCAGGGCAGGGAGAGGGGTGCCCTGGGACGGGGGGCTCTGCTCCCCTCTCCTGCAGGCTTAGTGGGCGGCTTGACGTCAGGAGGCAGAGGCAGGGAGGATTTGTGAAGTAATGTAATTGAACATGTGCAGATAATTATGTCTCATTACATAAGCCCCTTGCAAAAACGGCACTTGGAAATGCCACATGAAAGAGCCTATCGTTCCGCATTAATTTCTCCGTGCGCTGAATTTATTCCCTTTCTGGCTTTTTAATACTCGGAGAGTAAATGAATCGCAGGCTGATCATGATAAGAGATGATACTTTTGTATAAATTAAAATACCCCCAAGGAAAGAGGCTGAGCTGATTACAGTTGCAGTTGGCTTGGAAAATAACAGTGGGCTGGGTTAAGCCAAAATTTGGGGGGGAGGGTTGCTGCCGGAGATTATGAGGCAGGGAGGGGGTGACTGGGGAGAGGATAAGGAAGAGAGAGTGAAAAATCAAAAGCTGAATAGGACATGGAGAGCTGGGTTGGTGTTTCTGGCTGTGGTTCTCTGAGAGAGAACCAATGTTCCCATGAGTATCAATGAGAACTGGTGGATGTTTGGCATCTGATGTCTTCTCAGGTTGGTTTTCCGGGAGGGCAGGAACCCAAACTGACCCATATTGGACATTGTCAAGATAGGGGCAGGTTGGCAAAGGGACTGCACAGTGTGGGTGACTCCTCAATTCCCCTTAAAGCTGTGGGAGGCATGGGGAATGAGGAAGGGAGCCCAGAGATGAGCAGTTTGGGAAGCACCCCCTGTATTTTATGTTTGTTTCCCCTGTATCCCAGCCAGTGTGCTCCAGCCTGATTGTCACTTAATGTCTTCCTATCCAGTGAGGTCCCTTGAACGGATCCCAGTTTGTCCACCCTGAAGTGTGGCAGCCCTTTTGGGATCACTGGTGCTGGGGAACTCCTCAGTGCAGGCAGGGTGACCGTCTCCAACAGGCAGGGCTTCCCTGCCTCTCCCCGAACCCTGTGATGCCGAGGAGGGGCAGCGGAACGCGGAGCAGAGCTGATGGTGACACAGAAAGCTGCCGTCCCCGCATCACCCGAGCGTCCCCGTGAGCTGCTGCGAGGAGATGAGCCGAAACCTAGTCAAGAGCCCTGTCACAATGATGTCTGCACGGGGCTGAGGTTAAGTCATCCCTGGAGCCCGTCAGCACCAGGAAGTCAGCGGCAGGTTGCCCAGCTCCACTGCTGGAAACCTTGGCAGGGGAGACAACGCTCGGGGTTTGCCTTCCTTGATGGAGGATGAATTTTTAAACGCGTGTAAGTCGTGACAGCTGAGAAGAGGGATCTACCCAAAGCCCAGTTCCCTGCGTGGCTCTGCTGCTGTGGCTGACAGGCTGCTCCGCAGGGCGGGGAGGGCTGGAGTCGGTTCTGCATCGTTAGCAGGATAATGGGCAATGTCCCAGCCAGCGCCAGCACCGTGACCCACGGCCATGGCAGAGGGAGAACAGAGCCTTCTCCTTCACAGGTGGGGACAGCGCTGGTCCCAGCAGTGCTGGAGACAGGAGCTGTCCTGAGGATACCCAGCCTTGCATGTCTGAGAAGAAAGCTTTCAGGAGGTTTGGGGTGTGAGCCACCCCTTTTGGCAAACTGAGGCTGGAGGGTTTTGCACCATGAAGTGAGAGTTGTTAAATGGGCTGTCAGGGCAGTGTTCATGGGGGTCCACATGTGTATCCAGGAGGTCTCCCAAGCCCAGGGGTTTCAAAGCATGTAGGAAAGCTCAGGTTCTGTTGAGTTCCAGTACTGACTGCATCTTTGTTGCCACAGTCCTCTGGAATGTCCTACCCCAGAACACCACCTTTCCTGCTGCTGCCCTATGGCTGTAAATCCACCAAGTGTTCTACTTTCCCCACATGCTAATCAATGAGTGAACTATAGTCACCTTAAATCCCTTTGGTTTGGACTCAGCGTAATTTACAGATGATTTAAATGTGTAAAAATGACAAGCTGTTCTTAAAGTTCATCAGAGAGTGAAGGTTTTGATTTAAAACTGCTGTTGTGGAGACTGGTGCCTGTTCACAGAGCAGTGTGTGACCTGGATGGTGGTGGCCAGTGGCAGGGTGTGACAGGGAGTTTTGGATCCACTCTTGTCAGCAAGGATTGGTACAGGAAAAAACTGGGAGCTCCTTACTTGACCCGAGATCTTTTGTTCTAAAAAGTTGAGCCTTGGGGAAGAAAAAAAAAAGTTGTTGTTCTGTTCCTCAGGCAGCTGCAGTTCACAGTCACGGTCAAGTTTTGGTTCATGGTCGTGGCCACCATGGCTGGGCTGTGGGAGTTGGTCTGGCAGGGCTTCAGTGCACAAGCTCCAACCATAAGGGATGCTTTGGTGTGTTCTGATGGCCAGGGATGCCTTGGGAAGGGATGTCCTGACAAGGCTGGATTCTCTGGTGTGTGGTGAGACCTTCAGTGCATGACAAAAGGTCTTAGAAACTCAGAGAAGCACCTTTGAGGCTGCTCTGTCAGACTGGCCCATACCTGGTGTGTTTGGAGGCTGACCTGATACCCTCTGCCACTGTTGGTGGGACAAGGATTTGGTCACAGGAGGTGGGGTGCTGAGACAGCCTCTGTGCTAAGCAGAATGTGCCTTTAAAAATAGGCAGAAAGTCATCTCCCAGCCCCACGTAGGAGGCCCGGGCAGGGAGCCAGCCAGACTTGCTGGAGGTGACAAAAACGCTGAGACCTGTGGAACTGGGCACCAAAACCAGTTGCTTCAGCAATCTTTCACTGGGGCTCCAGATTTGGACAGTCACCAAGGCTTTGCCTGTGCTTTGGCACCAGAAGGTGACATCTGGAGAGATGTCCCAGAGATACTGCAGTCAAACCCCGGGGGATCTCCTTGCTTGGAAGAGGTGAAGCCATCTGGGTGGAATTGGATGAATCCCGCTTGATGCACGCCGCGATGGAGCGTACTCCAGGATGAGTGGGGATGGTCCCTGGACGCCCTCTGCCCGGGGGAAGGATCTGGCCTTCTCATGGAGGACTTTTCCATACCAGAGGATGGTGTCAAGATGTCACAGCCAGCCTTGGGTCCTCCTTTCCATCACTTGACTCGCAACTTACGGCCTCTCCCCAGCGTTCCCTCGCCTTCCCACCACCAAGGTTGCGTCCAGCCACCCAAATTCCCCGAAGCACAGGAAGGCTCATTCCCAATCCTCAATACCTTCCACGGATTTTCGGGGAGGAGCAGGGTGCTGAACACGAAGCCGCCGCCGCTCGCTTGCTTCTGTGGCTGGCAGGGAAAAAGCCTGGCTAAAAATAGTTGAGCACAATAGGGCCAGAGCCCTGCTCCACACGGCCCCCGCCGCTCTCCCCCCTCCTGCTCGCCGTAACGACCCTGCAAACACTAAATGGCATCTGAGTGCATTAAGCAGCAAACTCTCCGGTGACATAGCAATTACGGCTCTGAAATAGATTTGGTGCGTCACGGAAGATAAGGGTTTTGAAAGTTTCTGTTGTGATTATAGCTTGTAACTCCAACAAATAACAGGCTTGGTAATAAGAGGCTGCCAGCACAGCTATTGTGGTTCTCTCTCACTGATGGCACGTAAATTGCTATTAATGTCCTAAGTGTACTTGAATATGCCAGTCTCGGGGCGGCGGAGTTGGCTCTGTGTCTCTCTTTACGCGGCCTGTCATTGTCGGGCTGATAATCTACAGTAATTGCTGCCTCTTGCAGCAGTCCAAGATGTGTAAGGGTGGATATTGCTTCTTGGGGAGCGCAGGGATGCTGGGTCAGGGCCTGGCTCTGGGGGCAGTGGGCATGGGGGGACACGGGGCTGGCGATGCTGGTGTCGCACTTGCGCCCAGGGTGGAGCAGAATGGGGTTTGCTAACCTGTGAGCAAGCTGAGGTGGTGATTCCTGCTTTCTTTGCTGTTGCCTGGAGCCCTTTGCTCCCATGCAGGTAGGGAAGAGCGCAGGGGCACAGCAAGGGGTGTGTGCACACACCTCTTGTCTTTCCTGCCTTGTGCGTGTCCCGCTGTCAGCTGGTCTGACTCCTCAAACGTGGCTTCTCATGCCTGTCAGCTCTTTGCTCCCATCACAGGCAGCACCTCAGCATGGGGAGTTCTCCTGCCCTGAGCCCTCTGGGGTGTCCCAGCTGTTGGATGATGCAGCAGGCAGTGGGACAGGCAGCCAGAGTGGGCAGAGCAGCCCGGGCGTGTCTAAAGCAGGACAGCGACTGCTGCCAACTGGAGCTCGGGCAGTGCTCGGGCAGGATTAATTAGCCAAGCACTGAATCAATGTCAGAGCAAGCAGAGGAGCTTGGGTGCGACATCTGCTCCTCTCTGAAGGGGATGGCAGCAGCAGAGGAGCAGCTTCTGTGCGCTGCCGGCTCCTGCCCGTGGCAGCCGGGGCCCTCCGGTAGCTCAGCTCTCGAGCGCCCGGAGAATTTGGCTCTGCATCTGTTTTTAGGAGAAGAAACAAGTTGTCTGCCATGGTTTGCTGCATGAACCCTCGGATGGGATATAGTGGTGGCAGCTCTGCTGTGCTGTGGCTCGGTTTCCCTCAATGAGGTGGGGACATGGAGCTTTTGTGGCTCAGCAGTTCCGTGGGACCCTTTGCATGTTCACAGCGCTTGGGCTCAGATAACATTCAGGCTGCTGGTTCTGAAGTGAAGTTTTGCTGTTTTCTTTGTTCCACATGAGGAAGGGTCATAATCAGGGGTTAAAAAACCCCAAACAACCAGAGCTTGGGGTTCTGGAGAAATACTTTTTTTTATGTTTTTTTTTAAGGGATGGACTTTCCGTGAGCGCTAAAATCCGTTTTCAACAGAAATGTTTCTGCCCTGTATCACCGATGGGAGCCCTGTGGTCTGGGGTGGGATGGGGCAGTCAGAGGGGACATCTTTGCCTCCCACACCAGTCCCAGCTGAGGGAGAAGCAGGGAGGGGGGTCTGAGGTGGGTGTGTAGGGCTGTTTGTGCCTTGCCATCGGGTGACTGATGTCTCTGTGTCTGTGTGTGTGTGTCCCTTCCTTCAGGCTAATGGAGGTTGGCAAGACGCTACTACCCCATCGTCGGTGACCTCCCCCACAGAAGGCCCTGGCAGCGTTCACTCTGATACCTCCAACTGATCTCCCAGCAAATTGCATCCCTGGCTGAGCCGGCCCCGGCGGGGGCAGGAGGGGAGGGGGCCTCTCCTAACACCGCAGCAGTCAGACTGGAGGTGAACCCAATCAGCACACACAAGAAGACTCCTTCTCTTCTCTTCTCTTCGTCGGGATGCTTTTTTCAGCCAATCTGGACACTTCTTTATACTCTCTTCCCTTTCTTTTCTGGGTAGAAGCCGCTCTCCCCCTCCCCGCCACCGCCACAACACCGCTCCCTTCCCCTCCCCGCTTCCCACCCAAGGTAGAAGGATTTTAAGGAGGAAAAGCAAAAATCCACCACCACCACCACCCAAACCGACCCCAGAGCAGTGTACAGCCTCATGCTGGGTGTCTTTCTGAGGAGCCACAGGTGTACCTCAGTCACATCTCGCTCCCTCGCTAGCAGGCAGCCCCCTGCTCCCCTTCCTTTCACGCTACCTCTCCGTAGGGAATTGCCACCGTCGGGAATCTGCTCCCGCCTCATCTCAGCAGCCTCCCGCACTCAGCCCTGCCCCGCTGAGCTGTCCCCAGGCTGCTGCAGGGACAGGGCAGGTGGCCCAGCCCCCGTGCACGTAGAAGGAGCCAGCGTGCTCCCCCTCGCTTCCAAAAGGTACCGTTCCCATTCCCAGCCCCGGGGAAACTTGCCAGTCCCAGCCCTGCTCGGCCAAGCATCCCTCCCACTCTGGCTGCTGTGATCTGGACAAGCCATGAGACCCTGCTGTCCTGCCTGCCTGCTGCTGGAGGGGAGAAGAGGAGGGAAGGAAGGGAGGCAGAGGCAGGTGGGGAGCGCTGCCATGGCTGATTGCAGAGGTGCTGACACCTCCAGGGAGCTGTGTGGGATCAGGCATGGATGGCTGAACAGCAGCAGTTCTCTCACAGCACCTGGAGAGGCTGGTGGTGGAGTTCTCCTGCTGAGGGCAGTGTCACGGGGCCTTGGCTCCTGTTCCCAGCAGGAGCTGGGTTCCCCAGTTCACGCAGGACCCACAGAGGTTTGTGCATTGCCAAAGCCCTGCCAAGCCAGCAGTCAGGGATGGGCAGCAGAATGCCAGGGGCTGGAAGTGCTGGGGTGAGTGTCCCAGGTGCTTCTGGTAGCTCTTGAGGCCCCAGATTTGCTCTGCTGCCCCACTGGGGGATGGCTGTGTACTGAAGCTGCTGGTTTTCCCCCAGGAGTTTCCTGAGCAGTGGCCATGGAAGAACTCATGGGACTTTCTGCCCAGCTTTTCTGGCCCACTGTTGGGACAAGCAGTGGTGGCTGGCAAGCGAGGCTTCATCCTGCCCCTTCAGGCTGATGCTGGGAGGACGTGGCTTTCATGGAAGAGCAGGAAGAGGCAGCACCAGCTGTCCTGGGCAGCGGGCTGAGCTTCGTGCCAGGGTGGGACTCGTGGCCATGGGTTCTTTCAGTGGGCACGAGGAGGCTGAGCCAGCCTGCATCGAGACCCTGGGTGTGGTGGGGACTGGTGTGGGTGCAGGATGTCTGGCACCTCGTGGTGGATCCCAGGATCCCTTGGGATCAATACCTCACGCTGTTGAATGTCCGTGCCCACCCTGCTTGTGCTGGTCTCCAGGTGGGAACCGCCAGCGCCGAGCAGCATTAAGCAGAAACCGTTTTAAATCAGAGCTCTGCCAAAAAATATCTCCACCTTTCTGCTGGAGAAAACACCATTCCTTGTCCTGCAGGGCACAGTGGTGGTGTGGCCCCAGCTCCAGCACGGTGTCACCTCGTGGCGCAGGGCCATCGTGTCCTGTCCTGCTCCTTCCATCCGTGCCAGGAGTGGGGACCCCGTGGCACAGCAGGATGTGACATCAGGGGCTCAGAGCTGTTCCCCAGCTGAGTGTTAAGGGCATGGAGAAGGTTCTTCTCCTGCAAGGATGGTCAGGAGGTGCTGCCCTCCTTCCCACATCCTCCTCCTCCTCCTCCTCTTCCCCTGGCCTCCCTCAGCGCTGCCTTTTGTCCGCTTCCAGCTTCTTTTCCATGAACCTGCTCTGGCAAAGCGTTGCAGGGACACAGGACTGGGTCAGGCCTCTTCTCCCGAGTGAGCTTCCTGCAGGAATGCCACCATCCCTCTTGGAACCAGCTGGGAATGAGCTGGGAGAGCTGCTGGAGCCAGCCCACGCTGGGGCTGCCCTCTCCTGCCCCGCTGCTCCTCCACGGTACTTTGCAAATCCCCTCCTGGGTTCCCCACTTGGTCCCTCCAGTTTGTGTTGGCGTAGCTGCTTGCTTGCCTTTTTCTTTGCTGTTTTATTTTGTTTTTAAAAAAATTTTATTTTAATTTTTGGGTTTTGTTTCTCCTCCCCATTCTCCTCTCCTGCTCCAGCCCCGAGTGTTGTGGGGTTTTTTTCTTCTTCTTCTTTTTTTTTTTTTATTATTATTATTTTTCTTTTCTGCCCAGAAAAACCTGACTTCGATACCAAAAAAAAAAACAAAACAAAACAAAAAAAAACACAAAAAAAACACAAACAAAAAAAAACCTGCAGAAACTCAAAAAAAATAAAAACAAAAAAAAAAATCACAAAAAAAAAAAACTCGACGATTCTTTCAGCTTTATTAACATTTTCCATTGTTTCTTGCGATTTGTGTCTCGTTCTTTGTAGTATTGATGATAACGAACATTTGATAATGAATGTTCTTGTATATTCAGATAAAGGAGAAAAAAAAAAACACAAAAAAACCAAAAACGCAGTCGGAATTTAATAGTGTTTATAATAAAAGAATAAAAAATGACCCTCTTAGCACGCAAAATTGAACAGGGGGAAGGTCCCATCCCTGTTCTTTCTGTGGCAACAAGCGCTTCATTCCTGTATAGTTTATAACATCAAACTACCTACATTCATCCTCCTTTTTTTTTTTTCTTTTTTTTTATTGTTTCTTTTTTTTTTCCCATGGTTTGGGGTTTGTTTCTGTTTTTTTCCCCCATTTTCTCGCATTTGTGAATTAGTTCAAGAATGCTAGAAAAGTGTAGAGTTGTGCACACTCATTTCTTCTTACACAATGTTTAAAAAAGTGACGGTAAATTCATTTTGTAAAACTTTAAAAAGGAAAAAAAAAAAAAAAATGGTTGGAATAGCGAGCATTAATAGGTACAGTCTAACACTTTATGTTTCTTAACGTTGAGACCCAGAAATGAACCTTTTTATTTTTATTTTTGGTTTTTTTTGCATTACTTGGGATGGAGGGAGGGGGCTTTGATGATGATGATGATGATGATGATGATGCTGAGTTTATTTTGACCTATCCGAGATGATGGCCTTGCCCCTTCCCCTGCTCTTTTGAGCTGTGACCAGAGTGATGTGAAAAGTGATGGTGGTGGTTTTTTTTTGGAGGTGGAGGGAGGGTTTCTCCTCACTCCTTTCAGATCCCAGCTCCAGCAGATCCTCTGGGGCTGAGCAGTGGGATAACATCTCCAAAAAGAGATGGGATTTTGGGGAGGAGATGGGGACTCAACTCCTGTGCTTCTCCGCTCTGGGGGTGTTGCTGAGCTGCCTGGAAGTGATGAAAAAGCAGGAAATCTTCCCAAAACGTGCAGATGATTGTTTCTCTTCCCTGAATCCCAGAGTCCCAAGACTGGGAATGTTCTGAGCTCATCTCACCCACTGAGGATGAGGTCTCACAGCCTGGCCCCATGCCCTGGCTGTGTCAGCATTACTGAGGTGGGACAACATGTGGGACATGGCCAAAATATCCCCAAAATATCCCCAAATCCAGCCCCAAATCCCACAGAGGGGTGTGAGGAGAAGCTCTGAGGAAGGTTCTGCTTGGCATCACTTCAGTTTTCTCCTAAAACTTTCCTTCTCCTCCCAAAAAACAAAAAGGACCTGAGCTTTTCACATCACTGACCAGTTTAGGGTTTGGGGTGTTCATTTTAATCCCAAGGTTTCCTGGTGTCCTTTTGTTTTTGTACACCTTTATTATTATTATTATTTTATTATTATTATTAAGAGGATGTAAATCAGACATTGCCTGGGGGGTTGGTTTTGTCGATTTGCTTTTTTTTTTTTTTTTTGTTCTTGCAAAAGCCCTTTCTATCCCTTGTAAAGGTGATCCAGTTTGGAGATGCTTTTTCTTTTCTATTTTTTTTTTTTTCTCCCCCATCTTTTTTTTTTTTCCCTCCTCTCTTCCTAATGGATTCCAAATATTAAAAAAAAAAGAAAAAAAAATTTAAAAAAAAAAGAAAAAAAAGAAAAATCCTTTAAAAAAAAAGGAAAAAAAAAAAAGACTCTCTGTTCCAACCTGGTTTTGAAACTTTAAGCTTTTCTGCTTCTGTAAAGAAAAAAAAAAAAAAAAAGGCCTCTGTCTTTCTGATCCCAATTGAAACTTTTATGTTCTATGACGATACTAACAAGGTGTAGGTTTTACAGTTTCCTGATTTGTACTGGTAATGCATATTCCAAATAAATAGTTTCTTTTGTTGCAAAAAAAAAAAAAGAAAAAAAAATCAAAAAAAACCCACAAAACCCTGAAACCAAACCTGGTGTATTTTTTGGGGAGGAAAAAGAAGAAAATTAGATGCCTCAGGGGGTTTCCCCATCAGGTGTGGGGGCAGGAAGGGTGGGCAATAAATCCCCTGGGATGGTGTGAGCTAGAGGGATGTGATTTGGGATTCTGCATCCCTGGTGCTTCTCCCCATGCCTCAGTTTCCCTGGGCTGAAGGAGGATTATTTATCCATGGTGGGGGGTGGGAAAAAAAAATCTTCTACTGCTTTTTTTTAACTTATTAAGTGCAAAAGGGGATTTTATCACACCAAGGACTGGGGAGCAAGGGAAGGCTCGATAGCCTCTCCTGTTTTCCTGGGATGGGAAGGGGAGTTTATAAAAAAGGAAAAACTTGGAAAACGTTTCTGGGAAGAAAAGGAGAATGATTTTAAATTTAAAAATAATTTGCCATTTTAAAAAGAGCCCGTGCGTGGGACGAAAACCAGGACGGCTCTGCCTTGTCCCTGGAGATTTTAGATGGAACAGGGGGCGGCTGGAGGGGGTGGCCGTGATTCCCAAGCTGGAAAAAGTCTGGATGTGTGCCACAAACACCTCTGCCATCCCACGGGGACCCCGATGGGGACGGGAAGAATCCCCTGGGGAAGGAAAAAGCAGCGAGAGGATGGATGCTGGAGCTGCCTCCCCTGCTCCCCCATGGATTTCTTGTCAATGATTATTCAATCTCCAAGCCTGACCTTTCTCTTCTAAATAACACGGCAATATCAGCTCGGGCCAGCCTCCAGCTCTTCTGCAAATTAACTGTATCACTCTCCGGCAGAGCCCCCCGGAGCTGCCCGCCCCAGGAATTATCTCCCTCCTAATTCCAGTTTAAATATCAGCCTGCTCCCAGCTGTTCCCTTCTCATAAAGCCTCAGCCCTGCTCCAAACACACAAATGTTAAGTCTCGCCGGGCCCCGAGGTGCTGGAGGGGATGCGAGGATGCTTTTGGGGGTTCATTTTTGGGGGGTCAGCAGCCGGCTCCTCTCCCACCTCTCGCCTCTCTCTGCCAAAAAAATCCCAATTTTTTGTGCAGATGCAGCATCTTCCTCCCTCTATTCCCCCCCTCCTCGCTGGCTGCTTGTGGATGAAAGGGAAACCCAGAAATTCCAAATTGGATTATTTGCCTCACCCTCGCCATCCGAAATTTTCCCTTCTCCCCCCTCCACTCGTTTGCCCGTAGGATTTTTTATTTTTATTTTTTTCCCCTTCTTTCCCTGACTTCAGACGACCCCAAGGTGCGACTCCTGCGCTTTTCCATTCCACATTGCAATATTTTTAGACCGAAATCTATAAAAAAAATAAAGGAAGGAGGAAAGAAAAAGGGAAGGTGGGGGAAAAATAAAAAGGCACGACGCGCCTTGAGCCCCTCGTAATTCCACCAGCAGAATCTTCAAAAGGATTTTGGTGAGGTGGCAAACACCAAACAAAATATTAATAATCATTATTAATCATCATTATTAATAACCATCAGGCAAACACCAAACAAATTATTAATAAACCTTCCCTGCTAAGCGAGGGGCTGGGAGGTGTTAAAGTTACAGTTGGCAGTAAAGTCCCGTTCTCTGGCAGGAGAATTTAATATACAGCAGAAGTTTCGCCTATAAAAGGCCAGGGTTATGTTTTCCTCCAGTTCACAGAGAGTCTATAACTTACGACCTCCATAAATGTGAGTGGGTCTCACAAGTCAGCCCATCAGTCTTTGGAGTAATTCTGCTTTGTAGTAAAATATTTTATTGTGCCTTGGATGCAGGGAGGCCATCCCTGCCCGACCCCTGCCCTGCTCGGGGTGGGTGGGAGGTGGTGGCTGTCCCCGTGTCCCTCTTCTGCCAGCACCGTGGAGTGCCTAAAACATGAAATTTCATTTAAAAAAATTAATAAAATTTAAAATAAAATTTAATAAAAATTTAATAAAATTTAATAAAATAAAATAAAGTGAAATAAAGTAAAATAAAGTAAAATAAAGTAAAATTTAATAGAATTTAATAAAAGAAAATAAAGTAAAATAAGTAAAATATAAAAAAAAATAAAATTTAATAGAATTTAATAAAATAAAATAAAATTTAATAGAATTTAATAGAATTTAATAAAATAAAATAAAATAAGTAAAATATAAAATAAAATAAAATTTAATAGAATTTAATAAAATAAAATAAAATAAAATAAAATAAAATAAGTAAAATATAAAATAAAATAAAATTTAATAGAATTTAATAAAATAAATAAAATAAAGTAAAATAAAATAAATAAAATAATAAATAAAATAAAATAAAATAAAATAAAATAAAATAAAATAAAATAAAATAAAATAAATAATAAAATAAAATAAAGTAAAATAATAAAATAAAGTAAAATAATAAAATAAAATATAAAATAAAATTACAATGCAGTTAAAGGAAAGAATAAAAGATGCAATAGGATTAAAAAAAATTACAGGTAAAATAAAAGATCATTTAGAATTTAGATAATTTAGACGTTAAATTAAACAAAGTAAGCCCAAACCCAAATAATAAAATTAGAATAGAATAGAATGAAATAAAATTAAATAAAATGAAAATAAATAAAAGTAAAATAAAACAGAACAAAACAAAATAATAAAAAATAATAAAAAATAAAATAAAATAAAATAAAATAAAATAAAATAAAATAAAATAAAATAAAATAAAATAAAATAAAATAAAAATAACAAATAAAATAATAAAAAACCACAAAATAAAATAATAAAATACAAATATCCTCCCCCCCCGGGCATGAGCTGTTGAGAATGTGTGCTGCACCTTTTAATTATTGCTAATGAGCTAGAGTTTTAATGGCTTTAAGGGGGAATTGT